CCAATCTGAGCAGTCAGGAAGTGAGCTGATGCCACAAGGAGGTTGTACCAGCTGTCAAGGCACAGCCTTGTCAAGAATAGTACTGCAGCATTTCAGTTTGGTCTGGTGCAACTCTTTGTGTAATTTTAACATGAAAAATGTAGTCAAATTGAAGAGCGAAGGAGGTGCTAATTGTGTTTGTTCTGGTATGCCAGACTGATGGAAAACAGCATAAGGAATATGTATTGTATTATATTAACGTAGTGAATTGATTAGCAAGTTAATCTTATTCAGTCAGGTATGCGTAGACTGCAGAAACAATGCAGATAAAGCTGCACACACACTTTTTCATGGTCTCTTGTAAGTTGGAAGTTGTCAGGGGAGGGCAGCTGTGCCTTGGCTCCTCTTGGGTAGGCTGTGCTCTGTATTGTCAAGGTGGAAACTTTCTTTGTGGGTTATAAAAAGTGGTTGGCTTCTCTTTTATCCATGATCGCCCTTGTTTTTCAGGGTGTGTTGTGAAATCCGCACTGTACAGTGAAAGTAATTATTGACAAAAAAACTGCAGAATCATAGTTCCTATTCTTTAGCAATACCTGCATGTGGCAGGAGCTCTATAGACTCCCCATTTCCTCAGAGAACCCTTCTGAAAGGACAGTAAAATCTCTTTCTATAGCCAGAAGAGAGATACCGAGGTTGTTTTTTCTCTCCCCTGAAAACCACCATGCTCCACTATGAGCAGAACTGACCTTGGCCTTCAAGCCGTGCACCAGGGCTGGAATCTCTGCTTGACGTCACCACTGCAGCAGTTGTGTCTCCCTGTGCCACACTATCTCTTTGCTTTGGGTTTCTGAGGCACCGTGACACTTGCCATGCAGTATGCAAACTACAGTCATGCATTCTGGAACATTCCAGGAGGTGCTCGAGGCTTTGTTTTGGCTGGTCACGGTGTTCCTGGTGGCTTTGTGGGGTGGGTGTGATCAGCAGGTACTGATAGAATGAAAAGATTCCACTGGGAGGAAAGCTTTTGAGCAGCCCATCTCTTGCAAGGTGCTCCCTGAGCCTTGCATGGAGCGCAGGAGCTGCAAATGCTGCTGGTCCCTGGGACCCCCATGCAGGTGGGTGTCTGGGCTCTGCCCAGAAAGCTGCCGTTCCACATGCCCCCAAGATCCCCGTAAGCCATGTTTTTTGGCTCAATGCAATGTTATTACCAATGTATTTTGCTAACACCCTTGAAAGGTCTCCTAGAAACTGGAAAATAGATCATTAAAGGGTACCATTATCACAGCTTACTCTGAGTTGCTCGCGTTTTATGGGTTTTTTGCTTACAATTTTCCCTCAAAAAAATAAAAAAGAAAAGGCTAATTGGCAGCTTTTTAAAATCAAGGGCATCCCTGGGCAAATCCTTCCACTCTCTGGACAACGGCTGCTTGGTAGTAAAGGCTCTGGAGAGAGCTGGAAATAGTGAGGATGCTGCATAGCTCAGCCTACAGCTGAGCCACTCCCTGGCTTCTGAAGCACCAAGTCTCCTAATGCGGTGGGATGCTGGGGCTGCCTAGTGCCAAGCCCGATGGTGGGAGTGTTATACCTGGAGGAGGCTGTCTGCCAGCCAGGATTAACTTCTGGGGTCACCAGCTCCCTCTGGTTTCCACATGTAAAGGAGCAGCTGGGGCAAGTGTGGCCAAGCACATGTGGGTTTGTGGAAGAGCCTGAGCATCTCTGGGATGCTCAGCCCAGCACCCATTGTAGGTAGAGGCATATAGATTCACTAGACAAGCACGAGCATGAAGGTGTGCTTGTACTTGCACAGCTCATCTCATGCAGAAACAGCTGTTTAATAAGCTGTTTAAAAAGCCACGTAAACCTTAATGGCTAACCTATTTTGCAGCTTTAAATAATTAAGCCTCAAAAATACACCAAGGTCTTCTGGGGGTCCTGCTTCTGTCATCCTAACAGCTACTCCTGTGAGAGTCACTTTCTCATTTCCTATCTGAAATACATGGTGCAAAGAATAGGGAAAGTACAGCATGGAAGGCCTATGGAAAAAAGATAACCTTTTCAGATTTCTGATTGCATAGAGAGGAGAAAAAAGGTAACGAGTCATTAGAGGAAAGATTTGGTTCTGCTGTGATCTAAAAGATTGCTGGAGAAATACCTAAAGGGCTGGATAAGTACCTAAAGGGGCCAAGAAGAAATCTGGAGAGGGACTTTTTACAAGGGCATGTAGGGACAGGACAAGGGGAAATGGCTTTAAACTGACAGAGGGGAAATTTAGGTTAGGTATTAGGAAGTTCTTTGGTATGAGGGTGGTGAAGCACTGGCACAGGGTGCCCAGAAAAGCTGTGGCTGCCCCATCTCTGGCAGTGTTCAAGGCTGGGTTGGATGGGGCTAGTGCAAAGTGTCCTTGCCCATCGCACAGGGTTGGAACTAGATGAGCTTTAAGATCTCTTCCAACCCAAACCATTCTATGATTCAAAGCTTTTATATCTACTGCTAGTTATTTTATAATAGTGTCTTCTCTATGGTAGCACCTTGAGCTGAGTGCCAAGGCTGTGCTGCACTGGGTGCTCGTGCAGCCATGGTGCAGGGGGAAGCAGGGTGCCCAGGCACTGCTAGGGGCAGGGCAGTGGGATTGCACCAAGAGGAAATGGAGGGTGAGACATGGAGATGTTAGTTGCATCCGGATTTAGCTGTGGTAGGCATGCTGCAGCCAACTGTATCTCCTCCATTTAATCAGTAATTCAAGAGAAGCCTTGGAAAATTGAGATTTGTCAAGGAAAGATAGTTGAGAAGCATCTACAGATGAGTCACTGGTTCTGATTGAAACAGCTAAAAAGATGAGAAATCACCCAAAATGTTTCTTACCTTAAGAACAGAGGATAAAATTGCTGTTCCAGCTATTAACCTACAATTTAGGTAGGTAGGTAGGATCTACATAGGTCTCTTGTGAAGAACAAAGGTAGCAGAATTCCTGAAGGACACAATTGACAGCAAGATTGGAGGAGAGTGGTGAGCCTGGGTCTTTATCTCACCAATAATTGTCCCATTTTGCACTTTACTCTCATGGTGTGAGGGGCGTAGAAGTACTTCAGCAAAGAGCTCTGACCTGCGTGAGGGGCAAACTGCACCAGTACTCTGGTAACAGCACTGGTCTTTGGTTGAGATTAAGCATCCCAGCTAGTTGTTCATGTAACAACAGCAGCGGTCCCTTAAGTCTTGTCTGCACTTTTTCAGCCTGTGGTATCATTTAAACCTCATCTGTTCTTGAGGAAACACGTTTTCTCATTTAAAACCACTCTCTCCTCAGTTAAGTTTATGTCTCTTAGGAGTTGGAAGAAAAGAGTATAGATAGTCTGGGCTAAAGAAGCTACTCTTATTACCATAATTAATATGTCTGAGCAAAAGATGATCACAAGGCAGCTGCCCTTACACAGGTGTATCGTTGTCCTTGCCACAGTTCTCCTTAGGAATGATTGTTCTTAAAGGTATTTCCCTCTAAGTCCCGATGTCCTCAGGACTGCTGCATATGCGAGTGTGCATTGCAGGATCTCCCTGTGGTTGGGTAGTAATGAAACAAGATGGGGAAGAAGAGGTGGAGAGGTAGGAGAGGGATAGGAGAGGCAGGGAACCGGTGCCAGCTGCAACCTCCGCCTGGCAAGCGCAGGGCAGTGGTGCTGCCACCACCGCAGAGGTGGAAACCCCAGTAGAAAAGCTGGTGATTAGCACAGAGAAAACATGCATCTTTCCTAATTAAACCTCGACCCTGCCACTGATCTTTCTGTGTGTGAGATCTCCCCTTGCTTGTGGCGTTCCCTCATGGACAAAGCTGCCTGCAGGGTGCGGAGAGGCACTGGCCACGAACAGAAGGGCTTCACATCAGAACAGCGTTCCCTTGCCCTGGGGTCTGTGGTGGTGCTTGATCCCTTGCAAGACTTCATGGTGTGGGTTCTGGCTGCCATCTCTGCCGGGGCTGTTTTCTGTTTCAGTGGACTTCGGGTTTATTCATACTGTTGGCCCAAATGAGGCTTGGGGTTTTCTGACTATAAAGATTTTTTTATGGGCAGTCCAGGCATTGTCACATTCACTTTTAATTCGATTACTAAGAGCTCACCTGCAAGCAGTCAAACAATACCAGAGACAAAAAGCAGGTCTAATTTTGACCAACAAGTTGCGGTGACCTACTGACTGTTAGAAGCTAATTGCCTCATCTGGTGTTTTGAGACAAAGGGAGCAAATAACTTACAATGCTGTTGCTCCCCAGACTGCCTGGGTGTGTGTTGACTTGTGATTCTAAGCATCTCTCCTGCTGCCGTGCTTTCCAGAAAAGCAGCTTCCCCATGGATCTGATCAAACAAGTGGGTGGTAGTGTGCATAAGGATGGAGGCGGTGGGACAAGTACCAGCCAAGAGGGAAGGGTTTAGGCATGCGGATGGGGGCAAGCATGAGGAATACATGTTTGGAGAGGAGGGATGGCAACAGGTAGATCTGAAAGAGGAAGAGAAAAAAGGTAGAAAAGAAGTCAAAGAAGAAAAGAAGAGCTTAAAGGGGTTTGACAGCTTGGGAACATCTGTTTAAATTAAGAATCAAAGGGATAAATTAATCTCTAGTGAAGTGGTAACATTGACCTTAATGAAATGGGTTCATGTAGCTTAATGAGCATTGGGAGGCCTTTTTTGATGTACTGGCGTCACTGTTGAAGCCAAAATTACATGAACACTGCAACAGGCAGACCCAATTGTCTTCTCTTTCTAGGCTGTGCTGTCACTGTGTCTGTACTTTGTCACATATTGTACCTAGGGGCAATGTCAGGAGGGGCACCCCAGCATGGTTTCCTACATGTTCAAAGTGAGGTTTGGCTTAGTTGTTGATTGTCCCCTTTCTGATTGGTGCTTGGCTTGTCCCATCACTGAAACATTGGCTTTTACCATGGTTATTCTCACAAGTGCCATCCACTGTGCTTACCCGTGGGCTTGTCCTGACCCCATTTGCTGACCCTTTCCTTTGTTCTCTATTTTATGCTGCAGGTTGGAGACTGGCCATGAACATGTCTTGCCCATTGACTATTACTTTCCACCTCAAAAGACTTGCCTGATCTGTGGAGATGAAGCATCTGGGTGCCATTATGGAGCCCTCACTTGTGGTAGCTGCAAAGTCTTCTTCAAACGGGCGGCTGAAGGTAATGCATACAGAGGGAGGAGGGAAAATCACTTCCATCTCCAGATGTTGTCTTTCTCTACCACAGCAGCTGGAGAGTCAAATGCTCCTAATAACGAGTTCTTGTTATCAGCAGCCAAATTATTAACATCTAGATGCTGGAGGCATTTGGAGCATCAGGATATGTTCTCCTCTGGTTGAAAGAAGTTCAGCAGCCTTGCCTTGGACAGCCTGTGAGGTCAAAAGGACTGAGGCAAGAGTGGTGGGAACAAAGTGCAGAGGCTGTCTAAGGTCCCTTAAACTAGTAAAGGAGAAAATTCAAGGATAAATTTCTTTGTCCTGCATTTGTCTTTCCCATTACAGGGTGCCTTCAAAAAGTGTGCAGACCAGTTTGCCAAAACACAGTCCTTTTCAATGCCTGGTTGTCTTTGTGACTCAGTGAGACCCTGGAGCAGTCAGTTCCTGCTTCTTCTCTTCACATTCAAGTGTGTGCTAAGTTCCCATCAGCCCTTCTACGATCTGAGACCCACAGCTCCAAATTTAGGGGATGCTTTTCCTCTCTTGTATCCCTTTTACAGAGTCAGTTCTCTTGGTACTCACAAAATAGCAGAACCATCTGTCCATTAAGAGCAGTGCTTTGTCCTTGGTGTCCATGGTGCTTCTCCCTACCTCTTAAGAAAGCAACTTTTCCATGTCCAGCTCTGTAGTGCCAGGCTCTCCAGAGATATGTGTGAACCCACATGTTCCCTCTCAACAGCAAGATCTTTGCGCCATCTTTCCTTGGTAATTAGCATCTAGGAGTATCTAGCCCAACTATTTCCTTGTGCTGTGGGTCAGCAGTACCTGGTTTCTAACTGCAGTTAACAGTTATGATTCCCTGGGAGCCTAACTGTCCATTAATGTAATGTGCCATCTGACTTGTTTCCTAATGAACCAGTACGAATCGTCATTCTTCCTTGGTGCTAACATAAGTTGTTCAGTGCACCACATGCACACACTCTTGGCAGTTGTTGTTAGAGGTGATGGCATCCCTGGGAGAGGAGGTAGCACAGTTCCTGGCTGGTGGCCAGCAATGGGGGTGGGAGGCTGCTGTCTCTGGTTCATGTCACTGTGGCGTTCCCCCATCATTCTTGTGTCGAGTGGAGTTCCCACACTGATGGGTGCTCACATGGTAGTGTCAGAACACTGCTTCTCAGTTAATTCTAGCATTATCCTGTGCATTTTCAGAGTCTCTTTTCCCTCCTTCATCATGCATGCCAGAAGTGAACTTGTCAGCACTGGTTCAGGGAAGAGTCAGGGCTGTGCCGTAGAGTACAACAGCATCCTGTTACCATAATGGGACTGTCAAATAATAGATAATAAGTTTGGCATGTGTTTACCCTAGTAAATCATTTCCAGATATGTCTCTTTGCTATACACCAATTCTGTGTAAGGCCAAATGGATTGGCTTGCACAGCCAGAGTAAATAACAGATGCTTGTTTGAGTCAGGCAGTTATTGTTGATTTATAGTAAGTGGAGTCTTGGCTCTCTGTCAGAAAAACTGCTGATGAAATGCCCTGTGTCAATTGGCGAGTCCCAGCATGCTGCTCTTCCTCCTCCAACCCCAGGGTAGGCTCTGGCTGGTGTGGGGTGAAGGCTGATACTTCATAGAATCATAGAATGGTTTAGGTTAGAAAGGACCTTACAATCATACAGTTCCAACCCCCCTGCCATGGGCAGGGATACTGCACACTAGACCGTGTTGCCCAAGGCTCTGTCCAGCCTGGCCATAAATACTGCCAGGGATGGAGCATTTACCAGTTCTTTGGGCACCCTGTGCCAGTGCCTCATCACCCTCACAGTGAAAAGAACTACTTCCTTGTATCTAACCTGAACTTCTCCTGTTTAAGTTTAAATGCATTACCTTTTACCTATTACCTATTACCTGTAGTGCATTAAATGCAGGTGCACTACAGACTGTAGTGCATTAAATGCACTACAGTCCCTAAGGAAGAGTCCCTTTCTGGCATCCTTGTAGCCCCCTTCAGATACTGGAAGGCTGCTATGAGGTCTCTGCACAGCTTCTTTCTTCCAGGCTGAACAGCCCCGGCTTTCTCAGCCTATCTTCACACAGGAGGTGCTCCAGTTCCCTGACCATCCTCCTGGCCCTCCTCTGGACTTGTTCTAACAGTTCCATGTCCTTTTTATGTTGTGGACACCAGAACTGCACACAATACTCCAAGTGAGGTCTCACAAGAGCAGGGTAGAGGGGCAGGATCACCTCCTTTGACCTGCTGGTCACGCTCCTTTTGATGCAGCCCAGGATACGGTTGCTTTCTGGGCTGCAAGCGCACACTGAAGCCGGCTCATGTTCATTTTCTCATCGACCAGCACCCCCAAGTCCCTCTCCGCAGGGCTGCTCTGAATCTCTTCTCTGCCCAACCTGTAGCTGTGCCTGGGATTGCTCTGACCCAGGTGTAGGACCTTGCACTTCACTTTGTTGGATGTCATGAGGTTGGCGTTGGCCCATTTCTCCACCGTGTCAAGGCCTCTCTGGATGGCATCCCTTCCATCCAGCATATCAACCACACCACATTTCAATGTGTTCTCATGTTTCAAAGTCCATAAAATGCATTCCTGTCCCCCTTATAGTTTGTCTTTGGACTCTTCTTAAAACAGCAAATCAGAAAGCTTTCAGAAAGTGAGAAGAGGAACCATTTCTCCTGCCTTTTATTACCTTCCTATTACTGGTGTAAGACAGCAGCCTCTGATGGGTAGAAGCAATGGAGTAGGAATGGAAGAGCAGCACAAACACTTTTGAAGATCACCTTGAGGAGAATGGAGAATAGCTAAACACATAGCTTTTCTTTTATCGTATTCTTCACCGAATAGAATATTGAACTTATTTAGCAGTAATTTAGGGGATATTTAAGAAGGTTTTATAGATATACGCTGCCTTCTAAGGGATTAGAAAGGGAAAAGATTTGAAAGAATGTGAAAGTTATGACATTGATTCCTCTTCCCTTTTGAAACACACTGAGGGATTTGTATGGTTTCCAGTAGAGCTTGCTTTGATAAAATGTTTGACAGATTTGAGGATTTTTGCAAGTTCAGATCCAACCAGTTCTTCCAGAAAGATGCTGGAAGAGTTAGCAGAAAAGACATGAGTATTTTCTTGATCTCTTTCTGTCAGCTCTCTTGACTTCTCTCAAGATGTCCAGGTTATGTGTAAGGCAGCTCTGAAATGCACCCTGCAGATTCTTCAGCTTTGATAAGGAATTCCTCCCTTCTGAGGTGGGCAGCCTCGGTTTTGTAGTCAAACCTGGTATTTGCCTCTCCCTTGCTCTCACCCCATTCTGGTGTCCGAGTGCTGAGGGATCCAGAGGGTTGGGGCTGCTGCAACGGAGGAGGACTCCTCCTTCTGATTCCTCTTTCTCCTACAATAACAAACGTTTGGTAAGCAAAAAGTGCATCCGTCTCACCATAGACTTTGCTTTTTCTTGACTCGAGTACACAGGGCAGCATTTCGCGTGGTTAGGATGGCTCAGATGAGTTACAGACATTAGGGTTTGGTTCTTGTGATACCACACTTGTCCCTGAAACTAGGTAACCTTCAAGAATAACACACTTCCAAATTTGTTGACAGTCCAGGTGTTGCTGTTGTCCCATCCCATGCAGGAAGGGAGTGATTTCTGAGTTACCTGCATCCATCCCTCAAAAGTCATAGCCCTTCCTCATCTCTCCAGGGTTGCACGAGGTCTGACGGCAGCCTTGGCCAGTTGAGAGCCGTGTTCTGCGCAGTGTTCTTGGCAGCGCAGGGCTGGGATGTCTCAGGCTGTATTCCTGATGGGATTGACTTTATATAGCAGAGAGTGAAATGAAAAAAAAACAACAAACCAACACATTTGGCGTATTTCCTAGAGGGCTAACAGCCAGACTGCTGTGCAGTCTGTTCTAATTCCCTTTCAGTCACTCTCCATATGGATTATTGTTCTACACCCTGACCTGCTGAAGATCAGCCTTGCACCAGGGAAATGTCTCTGGCTGACTCAAGTTTCTTGTCCGTTCTCAAGATGACAGGTTAAAGTGAAGTGTTTTCAAAGACCACCATCATGTTTTGAATTGCTTTTTCTCTTTCTTGTGGCACATCTGACAGTATGGAGAAGTGTCAAACCTGCAGAAGACTTGGTGGTGCTGTGGCACTGTGATGCTCCTGCTTCAGTGGCAGGCTTCTCACTACCTGTGGGTATTATTTGCCTTAATAATTGGTGGGAAGAGCAGAAGGTGGAATAAGCAGACCCATGACAATTCAGGCCCTCCCAGCACAGTCTGCTGCCTGTCTGCTGGAGCTGGTGCTGAAGCCTGCTCTGTGTCTTGGGCTGGATGCGTTCCTTTTGCTTTCTTTAGACTTCTGGTAAATGCAAATGCAGGTGACTATTAGGAAAACAACTTTGCAAAGATAGTTTGTTAAATAACAGTTTAATGTCGGCTCCTGAGAGCTACATAGGTGTGCTCTCTGTGATTATTTCTAATCGTTGCATCAAATAGGAACTTCAGAGTGCCTCCTCCCCTAAAGCCACAGGCTCAGCTCTGGCCACAGCCCAGCTGGGGGCAGTGATAGGGACCAGAGTTTTTATGGAAGAGCATTAGGGACCCTGTGGTTACCTGGGACCTTGGGGGATTCACTTTCTCCAGAGCTTGGCCTTACTCTTCAACTGTTAGATCTGGTTTATGACCTGAGATACAAGGATACGTGTCTCTTCCAAAAGGCATTTAATGGGTTTTCACATCTGCAATCTTAAATCTTACTCCAGACATTTGCATAGATTACTTTGTTTTCTGGAGGAGAAAGCTACTCAAGGCACAACTCCTCATGGAGCAACAGGCTTTTAGTTAAGTAACTTCTGGGCTGAGTCACTGATCTTTCCTCATAAATCTCTATTCTTAGTCGAGACTGGAGAACTGCTTTTCCCCTCTGCTCCGGATGTTCGGATGTTCGTTGTGGCTGCAGTGGTTGGGCAAGAGGACTTGGTAATGGCAGAAGCATCCCCGTGCGGGGGGAGCCCAAGGTGGCAGGGTTGTTCCATTGAGGAGGCACTGGTACACCAGTGTACCTGTGGTGTGCAATGGAAGGGAGACTGCAGCAAGCCTGCAAGATCCACTGTTGCACAGGCTGATCTAGGGCTCTGTTCTGATCTGGCATGGGAGGGGGATGCTGAGTATCTTTGTAACTGCACTTCTCACCCACATGCGTGTCAAACAGCATCTGGATAGGCAGGGAAGGAAAGGGGTCTTCTCTGGGCACACATCTGCAGTGTCATCAACTGGGTAGTTATATTGAGGCCCACACGTTGCCAGCATCCCCACTGTAAGTACAATCTGAGTGACTGGCTTTGCCAAGAGCAGGACTGCTGAGACAGGAGTGTATGATTGAAGTTTAGACCTGTACTACAGGTTTGCAAAGCAAGAGCCTCTGCTTTGGAGTGCTATGAGAAAGCGTCTCTATTGTTTGCAGAAAAGAAAAGGAGGAAAAATAAATCATTCCAGTGTTAATGAGAGAAAAAACAGTGCATTTATCTTTAAATGCAGAACAGCTGATTGCAAAATGTCTCAGCTTGTTCTTAAATGAAGAGAGTAAATTATCCTGAAATTAAAATCAAGTCTGTGTACAAGAAGTTATTTAAGACAGATGGAACCCCTCTGTGCCCCAGCAGCCCTCCCTTGTTCTCTGGGCTGTTGCAGCCAATGGCACTGTCTTCTCTGCCTGCTCCTGCTGTGTTCAGGTTTACAGGGATGTGCGTGCCTGTGCAAGTGGTGCATGCTCCCAGCCTGGAGAGAAGGGACAGTGTACACTGGTGTGGATGGAGCAGAGGGGCTGTCTCTGGGATAATCACCAGAGATGCCATCAGTCCGTGTCTGTGCTATTAGATGACTGATGTCAGCTCATACCGGGGGTGACTAGTGTCCGGATCTCACGGCTCCCTGTGGTCAATGGGATGAGCGCAGGCAGTTCAGGGTTGCTTGGCTTTGCTGTAGCAGTGACGTGGTGTGGTTCCTCTCCCACATCATGGGTTTGTTTCATGAACCATATCTACTATGGGACAGCAGTGATGAGGGGCCATGTTTCGTTACATTCCTCGGAATTAGGACAAGATGAGCAAATAGCTTGTTCTCCTGCTAGGCAGAAGCAGATTCATGAATAGCCACTGCATGACCGTTTCCCTTTTTGTTAATGCTAACAGCTTGAAATAAACTGTGCTAGGTTCTGCATATACAGTTAACAGAAAATTGGTTTCTGCCCCAAAGGGTTTATTTTGTGAACCAGCAAGCAAGCCCTTGCCATTTCAGCAAAATCACTGTGCTATGACTATGGGGAGAGTTGTTGACTGTGACTTAAAAGCTTGCACTCAGCTGAGCCCTGCGGCAGGGAAGTGAAGTTGTCATAGACACTCTTCTAGGGTGCTTATTTCGTGCACAGTGATCCAGGAGGGCCGCAGGCACCGGGCACCCTGCCTGGTTTTATGGGTGGGGGATCATTCACTGTCATGTCCCTTCCAGTGCCAGAGGTGGTGGGTGCTGCTGAAGAGTTGATGGGAACAGCATGGCTGCCTCATTGAGCAAGGCTAGAACCTGGTTCTTTAATCTGCTCCCCTCCCATGGGTACCCGTGGGTGCCTGGGGGGACAAAGCGGGGTGGGGGACAAGCTCACATGTCAGTAGGCTGCCCAGAGCTTGGGGAAAAAAAGAGGATGGGGCTGGTGGATGTTCCTTCTCTTGGGATGGGAATTCAGACAGAGCTGTGCCTGACTCTGGAGTGTCCTTGTGGGGCTCGGGCAGTGACTGTGCTGCCTTCCCTTACCAAAGCCGTTCATGGGAGAGGGTTGACCTTTAAAAAGATTTTGAGCTATTATTGTTGCAAAAATGCTGTAGTTCAGGGAGGTGAGATAGGGATAGGAGCAGGAGGGTTGTGTGGATGCTCCCCAGGCAGCACTGCTTGCAACAGCCTGATGGCCTTGGCCAGGTACTGCATTGGTCCCTGTGGGCTGAGCCTTTCAGGTACTCTCAGCCCCAGCCATTCTATACTCCTGGTGGTTTTGATAGGGTCTGGAGCATCCCAGTTTCAGAAGCTGTTCACAAGGCAGGAATCCTGCAATGCAGCTGGGGGGGAAGGAGAGCAAAATCACCTTACAGCTCCCGATGCCTATGCCTGTGAAAGGAGGATGTCCATTCTTGTTTGATAAATACGCATGAAGAGGTTGAGTGGAGAGAGTATGGCCTCAGCACTCATTTCCTGCAGCATAAAAATAACTCCAAGTAACCCAGTTTCAGCTGAAGTTGTTTATTACTCATCCTCCTCAATGAACTGTTGAAAGAAAGAATGGTGCTTGTGTTCTCTGGAGTTTGGTGTCATCACTGCTTCTGAGGCTTCTCTAAGTGTCCTTAACACTGGTAATGAGCAAGGATAGGGGGGTAAGAAGAGGTGCTGATGAGAATGGTGTTAAAAGGATTTAGCAAGGTATCACGTGCTGCAGGTAATAAACTCTTATGTCTGCGGTCTTAACAGCTAAGGCCCTGGAGGTGGTGTAATGATCAGCTTTTAATGGGGATGATTCCGAGAATTGCAAAAGGATGATATTTTTGCAGCCCTTTGGTGTAGCCCTGTGTGCACACAGTGTGTGAAGGGCTTCATTGCACACTGAGCTTTGCATCGGCTTCCCTGCGACCCTGTGGTGAGAGGCTGCAGGAGGGCTTCTGGTGGTGCTGGTGATGGAGTGGTGGGACCTTCTCTGGGCTCGCTCTTTCCACCAGTGGAGGAAACCTCACTGCTTGTGAGGTCCATGGGGAAGCAGCAGACAGTGCCAGTGAGGCCTGTGGTGCTGGGCTGCTAAAAAATTGCCACTTTTTCTGATTCCAGTGTCTTCAGAAGGTGTGGAATTGTACGTGGGAGGTGGGGAGTTATTAAATCAGTGCACCAAAATAGGTGCATCTCTTGTCAAAGCTCCCACATCAAGTGGTTGCATTCAACCTTATCTTCTTAATTGATCTCTGGTGACTTCGAAAAGTTACTCCTATGAGAATACAGAAAGCAAACTCTTGCAGGATGGTGAATAAAGGTTAAGTTGGATATAGACTGATTTCCAATCACTTCGCAGTCATCCGCAGTCTGTGAGGTGCACAGCTCTGTTAATTACTGAGGTTGGTTTAGTTTGGAACGGCGTGAAGACCAAATCAAATACTGAATGAATCAAATGTCAGATAAATCCTCATCCAGTTTAGACTTGACAAGAAAACAAGTGATGATGAGTCAGGAAGGAAAATTCATTCTTGGCACATCTAGCAAATGAGGCAGAAAAAAACCCCAAGACAACCCAAGCTGAAACATGGAACTCTAAGGGCTACTCTCTAAACAAGAGGAAAGGTGCGTCTGAGAAACCTGCTTACGATAGGTAACTTATGCATTTTCTGCAAGCCCCCTCAACCTGCTGCAGTGCAAAGTCTCCTTTACAGGGAATGGCTGGTCTCAGTTTCTTCCAGGACAGGGAACATGGTGACTTGGTGACAGCCTGGCATCAGACACACAGTGGCAGAGCTTGTGGAGCAGCAGTTTATAAATCAATTTCCCAACCCCAGTGTCTGTAAACTGCAGACAGCAAGCCTGATTAGTACTAATGGGTGGTACTGCAAATAATTCAGTCTCCAAAAGCACAGTAAAGAGAGTTATGGTTGTAGAGAAAAGGCCACTGTCCACAATCTGCATTCAACAAACTGTAAGTGCGTGCTAGCTGGAGGGTCAAACTGTGTTTTGGAAATGTTCTAGGAGAAAAACAGATCTTCACAGCAAAAAGCCAAGCAATAGATACATGGCAGTTAAATGAGAACTGAACTTTCCGTATTTCATTACTTTTTAACTGCTGTTTAATTGACTGCCTCTGCTGTGCTGCACAGAGCAGGGTGATTTTCTTCCTTGGAGATCATGGTCTAGAAGCCTGTGAGGTGTGTGGGCAGAGGGGCCATGCACCTGGCAGCAGGAGGGCAGGTAGGGACGGGCACTGAAGTGTGACTGTAGTGACTGTATTTCGGGCAGCCAGCTCTCAACCAAAGCGTGTGTGTCTGGCCATGAACCACTCCTGTAGCTGCAGAGGCAGAACTGTGATGCTTTCCCAAGAAGATGCCAACTTCCAACATAAATACTCTACTTGGGGAGGAGGGGGGTTTAAACTGGGAAACCAGCACTGATAGGGTTCTTCCCTTCCCTTTCCCCTTCCTTTTCACCTTCCCCACTGTCCCCCAGTGGTGCTGGGAAAGCATGAGTTCATTTACCCCTGTGAGCTTGCTCTGCTTGGTACCCACCGGCCATCAGCTGTTTTCTCTGGTGTCTGTAGGTAAACAGAAATACCTTTGTGCCAGCCGGAACGACTGCACCATCGACAAGTTCAGGAGGAAAAACTGCCCGTCCTGCCGCCTGCGGAAGTGCTATGAAGCTGGGATGACTCTTGGAGGTAATACTTGAACAACGTCCCCTGGGTCCTTGCAGTGGGAGATACCCTGAAGACAATGAGTGTACTTGGCATACTAAATAGGCAGTAGATGGCTGAAAAGCTGAGGCTGGTGGAGCATAATGAGCTTCAGGAAACATTTGCAGGTTTCTAATAGCAGAATGTGAATTCCATTAAATGTTTGTTTGTTTCAGAAAACATTCTTTTCCTTAATTTGAAAATGCGTTAATCTGAAAAAATGTAAACAGCCGGATTCTCACTCACACCAAAGCCTTTTTGAACAGAGCATTCCTAAGTTAAAATTATTTTTCCCTGGTAGAAAGGGGCATTTTTCTTCATAAAATTACTTCACAAAATTCTTTATAAAATTACTGTCCCAGTATTTTTCTTCGCTGAATAGAAGTTGCTTCTGTATCACTGGTAAAGATACCCATTACAGCCTGTTCCAAAACCGACAGCTCTAGCAAAACCTGACACTGCCTGTATCCAAAATCTGAGTGTTTTGCTTAAAATCTGGAAGCTGCAACGTAGATCACTGGGTGGCTCATCTTTGACTTCATTTGATGTGAGAGGAAGAAAAATAAAAGATAGGGCTGATGAACCTTACCCACGATGGAGAGGCCCCTGACAGTGAAGTGGAGGGGAGTCATGGGTGATGCGCGAAGGAAAGCTGCTGGCAGCATCAGGCACAGCGCAGAGTGAGGCAGGGGGGAGCCCTGGCTAGTCAGATGTGCCAAATTTTTATTTTAAATACTTCCACCATTGCTGGGATGGGCAGTGCCTCCCGGAGCTTCTGGAATGTCTTGAAGAGCTTGCTACCAAAATGGCTGTGGTTTATTGCTCTTTGAGTGGTTTTAACTTTATTTCTCCCTGAGCAGTTCTATAGCTGAAGCGTGTCCAGTTGGCAGGACAGGAGCCAGCTTCTCCCCTCTGCTTTTGAAGCACTGGGTAATAAACCTAAGCAGTGGGGACACAGCTCTTGGGGGAGCAGTGCAGGACATCTGGCTCCTTTCCACCTGGTAGCAAGCAGAAAAAACAAACGTCTCCAAAGATAATGCAGTCCTCAGATCTCATGATGTCACCCAGAGTGCTGGCTCTGACTGCTCTTTGTGCTTCCTCTCCACCGTGGGTGAGCCGTCGGGTCGGAGCGATGTGTATTGGCACACAGAGAAGCACACCAGGATTTCTGAGCATCAGGGAGGTGCCCGGTCAACCTGATGCAACCAGGCAGGCAGTTTGCTTGCAGGAGTTATGGGGTAGCTATCTGTGTCCCTGTTCCCCAGTTCTGCCCCAACCCCAGTCGCCCATGCCAGATAGGGAGTGAGGGCAGAGCACGTAGCCATGCCTACCCCCATGCCTGCTTGCAGGAGGTCCTGATGTCAGTAATTTTCATGGCTGCTGGTGGCCATTCATTGCCATGGCTTCCCAGGGAAGCAGGGAGACTCCTGTGGGACACTTCCCCTGTTGCCTGGGAGGGTTGGGACCAGGACACCAACACCACTCTGCTGTGGGATTGCTGGGCTCCTGAGTGGGGTACAAGAATGAAGAGCCAAACCCAGCACACCAGTCCACAGCCCACAGAAGAGCTTTGTAATGCCATCCAAAACAAGCTCCTGTTTTTATGTGCTTTATTCTGGGGATGTTTCCTTAAGAGAAAACATACATCAGTGTAACCTTTTTCTGCAGGACATGCTGACAAAATCAATGCTAATACTGCTAGCTCCCCATCCCTTTTTTTCTTAAGCTCTTTGGGTCACCCTGACCTGTTCTGCCTGGTCTGTTTTACATTTGTTTTGAATGTCGGTTTAAAAGCAGTTGTTAAAAACATGCACGCTATGAGTTTGTCCACAGTTATTTCTTGCACAGCAGAAGTGCAGAGCATTTGAAACCGCTTCCAAGCTCCACACAGTTGTTTTTAACTGCCTGTTACTTACCAGTCTCTGGTAAGGTAGAACAGAGCCCCTGTGACCAAGCGGACCTGCAGCTCTCACTGTGTTTAATGAGAGGAGGAGGTGACACGCTGAATACCTTATTTAGGACTCTCTGCTTTGGCACAGAATGGCAGTGTGTCGAAGCACTTCATTATTGAGATCACTCTGACCTGCAGACTGAAATCCATTAAACAGAATCTTCTCTCGCAATCTACACTGTAAAGCCCAAGAGGAGGAGAAATGAAAAATAAGAGTGATAATGCAGGTTTCATGTGCAGCATTGAACACCGGTTCTGCTGGTGCACCATCCTAGCTCTCGCACAGCACCAGCTCGCACTGCGAGTGCAGGTGGCTGCACAGATCCTGCACCTGCACAGGTATCTGGATCCCTTTGTCCTGCTCCAGTCAGGACCCTGCCACCACTCAGCCAGCACAGCTCCTGCTGAACTGAGTTTAAGGCACCTCCTATTTGCTGCCAGTGCATTTTAGTTGTGGCATGCAACGTCCCATGGGCCATTCCCGCTGTGAGAACCCAGCACCTCTGCCCTCAGCCTAGCAGTTGCGCTCCATGGGGGTCCTGTCTTGGGGCAAAACCTGCCAAACACGCACAATTCAGTTTGTTTTGTTAATGGTAGGGCTAGAAAACCACTGTCATAACTGCCGATATCTTGCAAAGACCTATCTCTTCAGGTACACCTGTATTTAGTCTTAATTGAGGTCCAGTTGCTGTGGTTAAAGTACAGATCGTGCCCTATAAAGGTGTTTGATACTGATGTAAGCATTTCCAGCAGTGGAGAATCTAACACATTTTTTGCCATGCAGTGGCAATAGTTCATTCCATTCAGTGTTGCAATAGATGTACCTCATTTTTCATCATGTCTGTTCTTGATTTCCAGCAACTGGATCTTTGTTACAGCTTTGCTAGATTGAAAGCTACTTTTATTGAATTTCTATCTCCACAGTGGGTTTTGCTGGCTGTGACTTAATAACCCTTTAAGCCTTCTGCGTAGACACCTGGGTGAAATCCTTCCTTGCTCAGGGGTGTGTTGTCTAGTCTTTACTATTCTTACGGCTTCTGCAGTTTGCCAACACCTCCCTCGTACGGTGAACGTCTAATTGCAGTTTCATGTGTAGGCAGCATCACTGCTTAAAGGCAGTGGTAGGATGCTCTCCAGGCCAGTGCTTCCCTCCTTCGCATGGCTTGGGATCCTGCTAATCCTGTGCCCACTGAACTGTCCTGCCACCTCAGGCCTCTGAGTTTGTCCATCAGCTTTTGGTGTGAGTTCAGGCTGCCCAGGATGGAGTTTGACGTTCATTGAAAATGGCTTGCTTTTTCAGTTGCTTGATGTATCTTCTTACAGTGAAATGAACATTGCTTTGATAAATAGAGCTTATCAGCTCAGTGATCAGTCCTTAATGTTCATTAATGTTTGCCCATCTATGCATTGTCATACAGACCATTTTAGTAGAAATGGCTAGTTGTCTTTTTTGGAATGAAGGTAGATGTTCACTAGCAAAGGGCTGTGAACAACCCTCAGAAGAAGCAAACCTGTCTGATGTTGTTCCAGTATTTATCATTACTTTTTGAGATGTATCATCTGGGTGATTTGAAATCATTCAGCAGCACTGGCTGATTTTTATATCGTTTGAGTATTTTTTTAAACTCATGTGGGCCAGACTGAGTCAGCTCTCTCGAACATGTCTGCTGTGCTAGTGCTATTGTAATTAACAGCTAAAATTATCGTGCTGGAGAAGACTGATAGCTTGACAGGATCTGTTTTTGGCAAGCCACATGTGGATGTTAAAAAACTGAAAGAACTGGATACAAATCAAGTCCTGTTTCAGCTTCTCTGCCGAGAGCTTCTTGCCTGCAGCATGCGGTGCCTGGGGCTGGCAGGATTCCCTGTCATTGCCAGTGCACAAGCACTGTTCCTCCAGGTCCATAGGACTTTCACGAGTCCTGGCAGTCACGAAAAATCCATGCTGGAGCCCAGCATGCTCACAGAGGCCCAGCAGGAGGGCCGGCAGGCAGGCAGGCAGGCTTCAGTTGCTTAAAGCATGTGTCACTTCCATCATTGCTCTCTAGTGTGCTCCCTGCGGATTCTTGCACTGATGAATGTTTTGTCATGATCCTGTATAATTATATGCATCCTTCCAGCTTTTTTTGAAGTACGTAGGGTGTTTTCTTGGCTAACCCCGTGCCTTGCTTCAGGCATGACTTGGTGGTGCTGTGCCAGCGGCTGCATGTCAAGGCTTCCCTCTTGCATGCTGACAGCTAAGAGGGACACTGCATGTTTGCTGTCACTTGTGCTTTGTCACCCCACCGTGCTTCGGGGAAGTACAGTGTAGACTTCTGCCTAGCTTAGCTCATCCTGGAATAAAAGTATAACAGATGTATTTGATTTCTTTATTCCTATTTTTATTCCCAGTAGCTGCTGAGTGGGAGCTACTATCAATAAGGGTTTTTGCAGAGGTGACTGAGTATAAGCTACTCTTCACCTTTGAAGCTTTTCTCCATCTAGTAACATCAGTGTTTCAGTGATCTATAGAACAGCCACTCCTGGCAAGCACAAACGTCAGGCTCATCTGGTAAGAGCAGTTACCAGTGCTTTCTAACATGAAGGGGTTTTGTTTAAGGCTGCCATCTCAGAGCCAGCGCAGTTGGTTGCTTGCTCTCTTCTTACTTCATACAGTATCTCTTAGGACTACGTAGTTCAATTTTAAGGGGAAGAAAAATTAACACTTAAACCAAACCATGTGTGTGTTTATACAGTGTGGGTTTGGCTCCATTTACACGCAGGACCTGATGGGTAGTGATTATTCATCTTTGGAAGATACCATTTGGTTTTTATTTCTTCTTTTGAGCCGAGAGCTTTTCTCCCTGGCAGCACTCCTGTCCCTAAAGGGCCAGTGCCAAGCATGACCATGAGACATGGTTTCTGCCTCAGATGGAGTCAGCCCTGGTGCCTCCCTCCCGAATTAATGTGTGGTGCTTTGGAAGCGAGGGGTCACTGTTCTGTGCTCCCCTCCTCTGTGCTGCTTGTCAAAAGCAAAACCCAAGTGCAGCTCCTGGGGGAGCAGTGCTGTACCTATCCTGGGGATCAACTCTCCGGGGCTCAGGGAGGGGAGCACTGGGCTTCTGCATGATCCTGGTGCTGCCTGGGACTTCTGGAGGGGTGGGATGTGAGGCTCTGGCTGGCCTAACAACCAAGCGGAGCATGGCTGGAGGATGTCACACTGAACTGCAGCCCTGCTCTCCCGTTTCTCTCTTTAATTACTCTTTTCTGCAGAGCAGCCTATCTTAATTGCTTGTATAGTAGATCATCTGAAGTACATTACTTAAAAATCACCTTCTGAATTGATTGACAAAGCTTCACTGTAAGTAGACATATTGATGCTTCGCTGCTTATTATTCTAATTACAGCTGTAAGGAAACGAGATGAGTGTCATGTAATGGAGCCGAAACCCCAAGGACAATTGGTTTGATGTTATATTCTCTGCTTGAATTAAACAATTGTCTTTTTTTCTTTAATTAATTAGAGAGTTTGGAGTTAGTAAAGAGTGAGAGGAGTTCCTGTCTGCAGTAACCTGCCAGCCTGTGTTGTGCTGAATGCTGTCATGCAGATGTCAAATTAGGTGAACACAGACTCTCAAGTCTCCCTGTATATCTTACTAACAGATGAGCATCTGCAATTAAGAGCTGGGTGCACAGGAGAGACGCTTTGTCGTGGTGACATGAGTACAGTCACTGACTGCCTTCAGTTCCAACCCCACAAGCCTGCTCTACTGGTGTTGCTCTTGAACCTGGCCAGCAGACCAAGGCTGCCCCTGCTTGAGTCTCCTTGCTGGTGGGCTATGGGGAGACTCCAGGGAAAGAGCCATGTAGCTGCCTGCTCCTCTTAAAATGTATTTTGCATAATGTATTTGTAGAGTAGTGACCCGGCTGGGAGAGCTTGGTTATGGGGCAGCAGGCATTGCAGGAGCCCCAGGCAAGGGAAGGGTTTTGTCTTGGTTGCATCACTTCTACTCTGCCCTGGAGTGGAACAATCCCACTTGAGCATCTGAGTGCAATGGCTTTTTTGCCTGAAATGTGACCATCTACTGAGTTAATTTGCTTGCATTGCTTCCCTTTTTAATTGCATGTGAGTAGTTGTTTTATTTGAGTCACCTCTTCTCTCTTTTCCTTGGTTCTTTCTCTCCATTTCTAAGTGGGATTTAATGTGATACCAGTCACAGCTGAGAATGTAAATGATGCTTGTTATTTTTCATGTTAGATTAATGGGTTTCCTTGTCCCTTTTGCCCCTGCGTGAGGTCTGCAATGATGGTGGCACGCACTGAAGGAGTAGCTGCTGGTCGTCAGTTTTCCTTTCCTCATGAATATAAATGTTGGAGCCAGAGGCCAAGAAACCTCAAGCTTCTTTTTTAATTTTAAGCCTCACACTGGAATGTGTCACTCCCACAGCCCGCAAGCTGAAGAAGATGGGCAACCTGAAGACACAAGATGAAGTGGAGGCAGCCAGCTCATCCAGCCCCACAGAAGAGCAAGCTCCCAAGATGGTGATGACGCGCATTGATGGGTATGAGTGCCAGCCCATCTTCCTCAACGTCCTGGAGGCCATTGAGCCTGGCGTGGTGTGTGCTGGCCATGACAACAGCCAGCCGGACTCCTTTTCCAACCTGTTGACCAGCCTGAATGAGCTTGGGGAGAGGCAGCTGATCTATGTGGTCAAATGGGCAAAGGCTTTGCCAGGTAAGGAGGAAAACTGAGAACTCCACTCTCTTCCTTGATATGTTCCTAAAGCCTCCTGCATGCATCACTGGGGTGGATTCGAAGGAGGTGGTCTGCAGCCCGCATCCCTCCATCCCATCACACAGTTCAGCTCCTTGGGGAGCACCTTCGTGGGGCACCTGCGTGGGCAATATGCCCGTGCTGCAGGCAGCAGTAGCATCAGGTTTGTCTCCTTTGGATGACTGGTTGATGGGAGAGGTGATTAAGGGGTGACAGAGCATGCCAAAACTTACACTTTGGTTCTGATAACCCCGGCACATGGTACCATGTAGGCATGCAGCTTTTCCCTATGCAGAGGTTTTGCTCCCCTTCCAGGGCTGTGTTCTCCAGATCTGCAGAGGTTTTCTCTAAGCCAGTCCCATAACCTGCACAAAGTGATGAAAAGGGTAAATTCTCCAGGTGAATCACCAGTGTGCCACTTCATGATTGGAAAGTGAGATGGGGGAATCTGGGCTGAAAAGAGCTGAGGCTGAAGATATGGGAGAAGTCCTTTGTCACTTTTTGTATTTCACAAGCCAGTTAATTGTATAGTAGCAAAAGAGATACAAACAAAATCCCAAAGGGCTTTTTCCTGGCAGTCAGATTGCTCTTGTGCACCAGGCTGGACAGATGTATTTATGAGACATTGATCGTTGTGATATGGGAGGAGTACGTAAGGGTCGGGAGTTTGCCAGATGGTGATAGAGAGCAAGTGCTGTTAACAGAAACATCCTGGTGACACACGGGTTTCACTGAGAGCGTTCTTTGGTTCTGAGCATAGAGGTTGCCAGTCTGTTCAGCTGCAAGCTGTAATCCTGCCAGCTGAGTGAAACTGCAGAAGCCTGCACTCTGAGTGCAGTGGCATCCCGTTCACCTCCCAGCATCCCTGAGACTGGGGCTTGGGAACGATCCTGAGCTGCCTTCCTCACCCTGGCCCCATTCCTCAGGAAATGCCACAGAAAAGAGGGATCCTACTATTTGTTCGAGGTGATAGGACCAAAGCAGGAAACTGAGACAAAATAAGTTTGCCAAAACCTAGTGATGAACCTAGTTAGACATTTAACATTCCCAGAAATTCCCCAGTCCCCCTGGAAGTAGCTGGACTGCTGGTCCAGGAGGGGTGTTAGACTGAATATGCGTAAATGCCGAGTAGCCCATTCTGTTTCTTATGTTCTTGAGTAAGAAAAGGTTCACCTAGCTTGTGAAACCAGGAACAAATCATGCTTTCTCTTCTGGCTTATCTACATCAGACATCAAGTTTCCTCCAGAAAAGTACACAGAGACCCCACCAAACCTGACTGGCAATCGGTTGTAAAACTGCAGAAGTGCTGATGGAAAGGGAGACTGCTTGGAGAAACATTTTTCATTGTAATCGCCTGCTTATCAAAAGCTTTTATTGTCCTGTTCCTACACCTGCTCTCCATCCCCATGGTGCACAGTGATGCCAGCTGCTGCACTGCTGCCTCCCAGCGCTGGTGCCCGCTGTGCCAGTGACAGCATCTGGGAAAGACTATTTCTAATCTTACATCTGAGCAGTTACAGCTTAGCCCCTACACCCTCCTCAGGACATGGATTCCTTCTGGGGCTATAGTGGAATGCTGCCAACCGCAGAGCTGGTGCTGGGCCATCATTAGCATCACTGTGCCTGGAGCAAGCGTGAAGCCAGTTTGTTTTCTGCACCTTTCCCCAGTAGTTCCCTTGTGTGTGCCAGCACTGCAGTTGTACAGTAATAACCACAAATTTGCCACTTAGTCATTCTGCTGGTGGTTTCTAGGGAAGGGATAAGCAACTTCAGCACTATTGCTGTTGTGGAGCTTCAGGTGGGTGGTGGCCATACAGCCCCTTTGCTTGGACAGGTTCTGGATCCCAGTGTGGGCAGCCATGCCCACCACTGCCCCTCCTGCGCACACTGCGTCTGCCTCGCTTTTTGAGTAGACTTGCAGTATCCCCATAGCCAGAGATAGTTTGCTGTCTATAATTTATTTAAATTGCATTTTGGTTAATAAAGCAGAAGTGTTTTCATTTCCCAGGTCTGCAGGTTGGCTGGGCAGCCCCGCGTTCGGTGAGCTCAGGTGATGTGGGTGAATGCAGGTAGGGGGAGAAATGGAAACAAAACCAAAGCAATTTTAAACAGCGTGATGTGGTTGTTTTTATCAAAGCAGAAAGATGTTCACCAAATCTCTTGGAAAGCTAGAGGCTGTTTAATGAATGCTGTTGCTGGTGAGGTGCAATGGGAGCAGAGTAGAGGGCTTGACCTGCTGCACAGCAGCGCAGCCCAGCTTCCCCGGGAGGAGGAACAGTGCCCGGGGCCAGCAGCCGAAGCAGCACATCTTGGCCAGCCAGTGCCCCTGCCAAACACAGCTGCATCCTTTGCCTGCTGGAAGTGCTGTGTGGTCCTCAGCAAGGGGGAAAATGCCATCCACTCTTCCCGTTTCCCTGTTAATGTAGCACATCTGGCGAAAGTGTTGGCTTAAAGACAAACAACCTCCCCTGTCTGTCAGTTAAGATGCATATCAGTGTAAAGGGGAGAAGGTTTTTGCTTTCCAGTGACTGCTGCTGGGGGGAGAAGGGGGAACTTGCACCTGTGATGGAGGTAGCCTCAGCCTGATAACACTGGCAGTAGAATAATATTGGTTAATAGGCGGTTATTAATCTTGCATCCAGCGTTGAAAATCATCTGCATAGCAAGAGTGATGAATATGCAGCAAGGTGTTACTGCACTTCTTCCAGCGAGGTTTCAGTGATGGCTTAGAAACAAGGCTGCATCAGGTAGGAGCATTTCTGCATCCTGCTTGCCTGCAGTAGCAGTACCAGCCTCTGTCCAGTGGAGAAAACATAGTGTATGGCCCTTTGGACGCTGTGCAATTGAAATTCTGCACAGGAGAAGGTGGAATGAAACTGTGGTTTTGCTGGAAAGATTAAATAACCAGTGCTTGTCAAGGAAGCTGTTGGAGCACAGAATTAAAAAGTCTCGTTAAATCCATAAAATCCATCCACTTCAAGGTAAGTGGAAGGAGTGCGTGTTTTCCCTGTTCCATACGCATAAATTCAGTGAAGGCCTTACAGCTAATTTAGATCGGCACTGAAACACATTGGTTTAAGGGTCATTCTAACTGGCAGCAAATGAAAAGTCTTCAGTTTGTTCCTGAAGCTGTTAGGAACACGGTCATCAAAAATAGCTGGACCGCATGTGTGGGAAAAGGCTGCGGCTCTGGGGCCAGCACCGCAGTTGAACGCCCTTTGTGCTTCTAGCAGCTCGGTGCACAAGTGATCAGGTGAAATACTCCATGGGAGATGGACCTCTTTACTAAACCTATTGCATAATCTCTGTGTGCATTAATGTTTTAGGGGTGTTCCAGGCCATTGCTTGCTTTTCTGTTTCAAATATACAGCGTTACAGTGTGTCTAAATCACCTTTTAACTATAAGGATACAGATAATTGTGCATCTTTTTTCATTCTCCAGATAATAAGATTTCCAGATACACAATGAGTATGTTTTATATTAGAAATGCAATTTATGGTAACGTGTGCTCAGCTGCTGATCTCTGAGGAAGATAATTAATCTGGCACAGCACTGCATCAAGAAAGAATATAAAGGATTTCTTTCCAAACTCTGCTGCTTTGTGATTATTCACAGCAAAATGGCATTGATCTTTTTCAAGGCGTCAGTAAATCTGATTTTACTTTTACTGTGATTTCTTTCTGCAGAAAGCAATCTTCATTTGGGTCTCTTCAAAACATGCCAATACTAAGAAATTTAACAGTATATTATGGCATTAAGTTTGTATTTATTTTCTTTCCCAGTGATTCTGGCAGTACATCATTGAAGATGTCTGGATGGGGGAGGTTTGCGGGAAATTACAGGTTTTTAGAGACAGTTTTGTTTAAGGGCATTTAGCTCAGAAACTGGAAGCAGTGATTCCTTTTAGAAAACTCAGCCAGCATGTTTCTAGAACTTGTTTTTGTGGACATGCAGAAAGCAGATTTAAGTTCTCTGACAATGAAACTGTTGTGTTCAAATACCTTTCCTTAAACCCTGGTGAAGCTTGCACAAGTATTTTAAGTGAACCTAATTGCAAGGTAACAAATAAGAGCACCAAAATCCTTCTCATAGCAAAGATTAGGAGCAACAAATAGTTACCCCAGCTATGGTGCAAAGCTGATACTCAGTGGTGGAGGGGAAGCCAGCCCCCGGTGAGACTGGCTACCTGCAGAGGTGGCTGTGGAGCTGGTTTGCATGGGCATGGCAGCAGTTTGAGGAAGTTCTGCCATTGATGCTGGTGTTCCCAACAGCTTTGTCCTGTTGTTGCTAAACCCAGCTAAAGAGGGAGGGATCATTTGTGTGAATTAGGGCTAAATTCACATAGGTTGCTGTTTGTGGGTGTGTTTTCTGTCTCCAAGTCACTTGCAGGTTACATGTTTCATCTTTGGTGGTAAGACTTAAGGGTCCTTGCTCCCAAAACATAGGCACAAGAGAAGCCAAACATCAGAGACCTTTGGTTTGTCTTCTTTCTCACCTCACCCTTTCCATCATGTGTTGATTTGCAGTTCTGGCCTTACATCACCTCTTCGGTGCAGCAGAACTTCACAAAAGAACTACCTAAGTTGGGAAGGGGTATTACTTCCCAGCCTTATGGATCCGAGGGGGATGAGTGTGTAGCAGACAAGGTTCACCCTCATTATGTGGATGCCACTGCCGGAGTGTTCCCTACACCATCTTGCAGCCTACTTTCTTGAGAGTCTCAGCCGCAGGGGCCATCACATGGCTCCTCTTCAAGTAACTCACGTGTTTCCAATCTTTTCAGAAAGTCTGGGCAGGGAAAGAGAATGGTGACGAGTATGGGGCGGGAGGAAATTCAAGGAAGTGCTCACTGCGAATGGCTTAGGTTTTACTAGGCAGTGAATTAATCTCTGACCAAATTTACTGGATAAATAGAAAGGTTTTTTAATAGCATGGAGTATTGTAGTTAGCTATGAAGATTTAACTTAGATATGTCCTAGAAATGAGTATGACTGATTTTATGAAGCCCTGGAGTTGCCTTGTCTGTACTCGTGTGCTCTGAATGAGTTTCTCTCTGGCTGCCAGGAGGTTCATGTTCAGCTGGTAGCTGAGCACCCCTCTGGTGGAAATGACCCGTTCAGGTTCGGTGGCATGCTACTGGCACACAAACTTCAGGTTTTTAATCCAGTGATACGCGATCTAGAACAGAACTGTACAAATGTAAGGCAGGTTTAGTCAGCAGTAAAACACGACTTGTGCTCATTTGCAGTTGACAGCTTCCCAAGCAAGAGTGAATTGCCACAGTGAGTTATTATTACACACTGGAGGTGTTGGAATTGCTTTAAAGTTTCACTGAAGTTACAAATGATCTGCTTGAAACCAGATCACATTTGCCTACTTACAAGTATCTGGATGAAAGTACGGTTGGAGGTGTCTGTGTGTGTGTTGTAAACACGCCTGGGATTTAGCTGTGAACTGCCATCTGGGAATGCTAATTTGAATTTAATTGATAGTTTTGTTTAGCTTGTGATTCAGCAGAAGTTTTCATATTCATTAGATAAATGCATTGCGTATTTGACAGAGAAATGGAAGCAGCCTGTTAACCATGTAGCCTCATGGTTACTTGCTGTCTCTGAACATTATACATTATAATCCCTTTGCTTAAATTTGATGAAGTCCTAATCAATTTGAAGGGGTTTGGCTTATCTCCTGGAGTGCCAGAATTGCACCAGAGGAGGCAATTGGTTAGTGACGGCTTCTCAGCACCTGGAGAATGTGATCTGGTTAGTTGTGTTGTTGCTGGGGCTCCCACTCCCCTCCAGCTGATTTATTTCTGTTAGCAGAACAAAGCAAACAAATCCCCATCAGCTGTTTCTTTCACTTACTTCTGACATACCGTCTCACTTGATGACTGTGAATGTTCTGGAGCAGACTGTGGGAGTTAACACTGTGACTGCAGAGCATGTGGCAAAGCACGTTCCAGTGGGTCTGGGTGTCTAATGAGTGCCAGAAACAAGGGCTGTTGCAGGGCAAGCCTGGTGCCAGCGCTGAGGTTTGGTTGTGTCCCAGAAGGGACTTTAGGAAGTCACCGAACCCCATCCTGCTGTGTCTTTCTCCAGTCTGTTGCAGAACGGTGCTGGTTCATTTCACTGGGTCTTGCAAAGCCTTCAAATACAATTAGTGAAGCTCTCTGAGACTCTCAGGGGAGGATGTCATTTATTGCCGCTTCTCACTGCTTTCCTGTATAATGTTTTGCTGCTTGTGTTCTTCACCCGGTCTTTATCCCTGCCTTATGCCTGGGGATCTCCTTTCTCCCCTTCCAGTCGCAGGTGTGTGTTTTGGCTGGTTATGAGGGTCTGTGAGCACCTAGCTCTTGACACTGTGGCTGTGCCACCCAGATGCGTCTGTGTCCTGGGATGAGCTGAGGTTGTGCTGTGAACCACCTTGTCCTCACAGGAGTAATGCAGGAGGGCTGGAGAAAAACAGTCCTGGTACCCACAAGTAACCCAATGTTAATTTGTTCTCAACATAAAAAGGACATGGGACTGTTGGAACAAGTCCAGAAGAGGCCACGAGGATGATCAGGGGACTGGAGCACCTCCCGTATGAAGTGAGGCTGAGAAAGTTTGGGCTGTTCAGCCTGGAGAAGAGAAGGTTGTGTGGAGACCTCATAGCAGCCTTCCAGTATCTGAAGGGGGCATATGGGGATGCTGGGGAGGGACTCTTCATTAGGGACTGTAGTGATAGTACAAGGGGTAATGGGTTAAAACTTAAACAGGGGAAGTTTAGATTGGATATAAGGAAGAAGTTCTTTACTGTGAGGGTGGTGAGGCACTGGAATGGCGTGCCCAGGGAAGTTGTGAATGCTCCATCCCTGGCAGTGTTCAAGGCCAGGTTGGACGAGGCCTTGGGTGATGTGGTTTAGTGCGAGGTGTCCCTGCCCATGGCAGGGGGCTTGGAACTTGATGATCTTAAGGTCCTTTCCAACCCTAACTGTTATATGATTCTAAAATCCCCTTCTCCTTTTTTAACAGGATTTCGCAACCTGCATGTGGATGACCAGATGTCAATAATCCAGTACTCTTGGATGGGCCTTATGGTGTTCGCTATGGGTTGGAGATCTTTTACCAACGTCAATTCCAGGATGCTTTACTTTGCTCCAGATTTGGTCTTCAATGAGTAAGTGCGAAATAGCAACAATCTAATACTGTGTTCTGCTTGGGTCAGACTAGGTGAGAACAAATCAAGGCATTTGTTTTCATTATGGAATGTATAGCTTAGTAGTACTTTCAGGGCTGACCAACAAGGCATAGGAGGGCCCTGCTTTTTGTCCTCTAACTGCTCCAGGAGCAGTATGTGCAGTTGTAGTGGCTCTCCTGGTCCTTCTTCCTTTTCCCTTAACCTTGCCTTGGGTCCTACGTCCATTGGGCAAGAGCCAGTGCTGGGTGTGAAGGGCTGGTCTGTATAGACCTGCCTTTTCTCGCTGGGATTTGAGTTTCTATTTCCAGCTTGGTTGGTCAGCTGGAGTGAGTAGGAAGAGCAGCAAGCTTTTATTGCAAGTTCCTGATGGGTTCTCTCTTACGTACCATCAGCTTAGAGTTGGGGAGGGTTTGTTGACATGAAAGTAGAAGAGCTTCAGAGCAATAACAATGCACAGCCACAAGCAAAAGCATACCTTGTCTCTGAGAGCTCTGAGCTCAGCTTCCTGCCCCTCGCAGACAGCCACACTTAGTGAATCATTGCAGCTGCTTTTCAGGAAGGCAGAGGGTCAGGCGAGCCCTGCAAGTCCCAGGTAGCCATCCATTTCCAGATGGGAATTACATGCAGGCATTCTGGAAAACATTCTGGTCGTGTGTGCAAGCCTGTTGCTGCAGCATCTCCCAAGACAGAGCTCAGGTTCTTGGCACGGGGGACGTGCCAGGCGAGGCTCGGATTGCTGGGATGGGCAATGCGTGTCCTCCCATGCACATCGCGCAGGCAGCGCTTTGATGCTCTTGCTGTGCGTGACATGTCTTGCCCTGCCAGGTACCGGATGCACAAATCCAGAATGTACAGCCAGTGTGTCAGGATGCGGCACCTCTCTCAGGAGTTCGGGTGGCTTCAGATCACACTGCAGGAGTTCCTCTGCATGAAGGCTCTACTTTTCTTCAGTATTAGTAAGTTCTCACATCCTTTCCTCAGCAGACCTCCAGTTGCTGTGCACTGTATTGCTGTAGATGTATCTGATGCTTTCCCTGTGCATGTACTCATACTGTACAAGGAATGGCTGTGGATGTTCTCCCCTCTGCTTCAGTCTGAGCTGCTCAGAGATGATGAGCTGTCAAGCATTCAGGTGCCCTCACCCAGCCCCTGCAGCTAACCCATCCCACCCCTGCACAGCGCAGCATTTCCACATGCAGTTCCTGCAGGAGGTTGCTCCTCAGCTCAGTTCCTGTCATCACAGAACCTCTGAGCATCAGCTGCAGAGCAGGAAACTAGTGCTTCAGTTTGTCATATTGCTTCTGATTTTTAACAAGCATGGAACTTGGCTTAACAGCCATCCAACAAGCTGATCAGAGTGAGGGCTATAGCAGAAGCAGAGCTGGTGGTCAGATCTTTCCTCTCAGGTCTGCACCGACCTCTTCCCCAGCTTTCCTCTGGCTCTTCTGTTTCTCCACTTCCTGAGCAGCTCTCACTGTTTCCCTCCCATGTTCCATCCAGTTCCAGTGGATGGCCTGAAGAACCAGAAGCTCTTTGATGAACTTCGAATGAATTATATTAAGGAACTTGACCGTATCATCGCTTGCAAGAGGAAGAACCCTACCTCCTGCTCTCGGCGATTTTATCAGCTCACCAAGGTCCTGGACTCCGTGCATCCTGTAAGAGGACAGTGAAATGTCTATGTATCACATAAGAAATTACATAAGAAAGAAACTTTTTACAGTGAGAATGATCATTCACTGGTGCAACCTCCCAGGATCGTGATGGTCCCCATCACTGGAGGTCTTCAGGATGCGAGAGTGGACAGGGTGTTAAATAGGGTCCTCCAGGCTCCCTTTCCCAGGGAAGATTGGACTGGGTGACCTTTCAAGGTCCATTCCAACCTGGGCTGTTCAGTGATTCTGTGGTTCTTTGTGGTTTGTTTTTTTAACTGTCATACACCTTTGCAGGGACAGTATTGCAGTGTGCTCCAAGATTAAGCAATAGAGAAAAGACAGACACCAAGTCTGCTGAGGGAGGGAGCTACCTGTCACTCCCTGCAGTAACCACTTTAGTGCTTGGGTTTACGGGCTTCCACTTTTAGAAATGAAAAGCTCTTTGTACATGGTACTTTTGTATTATCACCCTACCAGAACAGCTCAAAATCTCAGTGCCCCCAGTGAACCTTTTCTGATTACAGCAGTGAAATCAAATTCTCTATTTGTGAGTTGTACTGGTGACACTTGAGCTAGACCTTTCATTTTCCATGGGGGAGAGATCCATGCACATACAGTTACATGTTTATAAGCAAAAAGTAATCCTTAATAACTGAAGGCAGCATCATCTGCACAGTAAGACAAGTTTCTGTAGGAGTAAAAAAATGCCATTTCTATTCACCCCCATTTTTGTGGTACTCGGTAATGATCAAGTGTGCAGGACCATGGCAAGTTGTGCTCCATGTCCCCAGGATGGGTAGTTCCCTCACTTATCCTTGAGACTGTACCTGCCATCTGACAGGTGCTAGCAAGGCAGCGATGGCCAGAGAGCAGAGCACGTCCCACTGTGGCAAGGTCCAGCTGTGGCCAGCTGTGCCCGCTAACGCCTGCTCCTTGTCTTCCCAAAGAAATCACTGCCCAGGGACTTCTCGTGTAACAAACTTTCTCTCTCTCCCAGATTGCCAAGGATCTGCATCAGTTTACATTTGACCTTTTAATTAAGGCACATATGGTGAGCGTGGACTACCCTGAAATGATGGCTGAGATCATCTCTGTGCAGGTTCCCAAGATCCTGTCTGGAAAAGTCAAGCCTATCTACTTCCACGCACAGTGATCTTCCGGAAGGACCTCCCAGTTCTGCCACCCCCATTTCAGCAATCTCCTGCCAATTTTTTCTGCACTACTGTACTGCAGTGCCTTGGGGAATCCCCTCTACAGGCGGTGTGCCGGGAGGATGGACAGTGACAAGCGACTACCTGCTGGGATTCCCGAGATTTCTGGGTTTCGTGAGGTACCTCTTGAACTGAGCTGCCTGCCTCAGCTTCTGCCTAGATTTGGCTGGCTCACCGTGCTGGGACAGGGGACTGTGCTCTCTCATTTGTGTGTTTTCCACAGTGACTTTCAGTGGCCCAGGGCCACGAGCCATCAGGAGAAATGCCAGCAGTCATTGGGTTTGGTGTTTTTTTTAAAGAAGAAACAGGACAAGACCAGAAGCAGGTTGGACCTGTGAGGGTGGGAGTGGGTTACTTTACTGGCCGTCTTCAGGACTTTTAAATTGCATTAATGGTGCTGGGAAGCAGATGAGTTAAAATACTGCAGTAGAGAAACAGAGAAGAGCTGGGGGATGAGATGAATTTGCAGCCTGGTGACTTGGCAGGGCCTGCTGCTGACACAAAGCCACCGTGCAGCTGCCAAGGGGTCTGCTCTGGACTGCATGCCTGCCTATGCAGCATCAGTATTAGCTGATGGAGCGTTACACTGTCAGCAAAAGGGTTGGAGAGGAAGGTGACCTTCCCAAAGTCCCAAAGGTGACAAATGGCTACCCTGGGATGGTTTTGCTATGTCCAGTGAAGCTGGATCTTGGTCTGCCCTGCAGACTCCCAGGCACTCAGCAGTCTCATTCCCATCCTCGGTAGCTGCTGCTCCTCCAACACAGCCGTACTCGCCTCCGCAAGTGCCTGACGTTCTCAGACCTCACGCTTCCCCCTCCACCCGTGGGCAGCCAGGGCCCCTGCCCAGCCCCTCACCAGCTCTGCTCCCGCTGGGTGTCCCCAGGCCCTGGGTTTCCATCTACAACACTTATTTCCCATTTGTCCCAACTGTTCTTTCTGATGCCAGCAGACAAGCACTCCAGGAGCAAAGCAGCGGGGCTGGGGTCTGCTGGACCTGTGATTCCTGCTGTCAATCCCATCCTTCAGGAGGTGGCTGTGACGACTGGCTGGTGCTGCTATGGCACTGCAGGGAGTTGTAAAAGAAACACTGAAGAGACCTTCTGCCATTCTAAGCAGTGTGCATGGTCACTGCTAACTGCAGTGCTTGATTGCAGCCTGGGGGATGCCATCCCAAGCACACTGTCCCATGTGCTTCACCAGTCCACAACAGCTTAACGTGGCAGTGGCAGAGCCCAGTCCACAGGCGGATGCAGCACAGGCTGCAGCCCCACAGTGGGGATGGATAAATGCACCCTAGCTTGAACAGTGGTTGGTCCACAGCCAGCAAAGAGCAAAGGCAGATTGGTCTGCAGCTGCTGGTGGTCCTCGGCAGTCAGGAGTATCTTGAGAAATGCAGGCTTGGTTTGTCAGGCTTGACTTTCATACCTCAGGTTCAGAAGGGAGCACAGGCCCATTCGATGCCCGTGTTCTGATTTATTTGGTGGGCTCAGTTTCCCACACAGCGGCCAAGCCTGCATTCCCCATTGTATTTCAGTTCCCTCTTCCTGCACAGCGTGAGCACACCGGAACTGATCAGACACGTTCCCCCGTGTAATACCAGCTGCTCGTCTTTGTCGGGTGTCTTTAAAAGCAAAGGGAATGAGGTTCCGTGCAATTGATTGCCACACAGGTGTTGTGCAGAAAACAGCACTAATGCCTGTGCTGCTTGGACCATTCATGAGCTGAGCATCCCCATCAGGCAGACACCCTCACGGTACTTCTGGGTTCTTTGTAAACTCTCAGCAGAGCAAACTTACTTTACTGAGATACTTTTCAGTCACGCTGTGGGATTTTCATTAAGGGAAGGGGTAGGAATAAAGCCCTTAAAAGTATTGAAGGGGAGGAACTATCTTTGCAGTTGTTTGTGATGGGTTTTCCTCCGCTGCTAGATGTGGCTCTGCTTGTGCTGTTCCACTTGAAACCCCTTCATGTGGATTGCAACAGAATCCTTAGATAACCTTCCTGAATGCCAGCCAGGAGGGCTGTGTTCTGAGTAAGCTTCTATTTTTGAGGGCTGCAAGCATTTTAAATGTTAATATGATCTACTAATATTTGCAGATGAACTGGTAAAAAATCCTGCTGGTGCACTTCTCTCTTCCTGAACATTTTCTGCAGAAAGCAGAAGGGCACAGGGAACAGCTGGCTGGGTACGCTCTCATCAATGTTGAGGATGTTTAGGAGCAATCTGAAGAGCTCCTTTGGAGAGCTTTATATTTTGCACAAGCTCTTGTCAGTGAAGTTTTCATTAGTTAATGAGTGGAGGTATCCTGCTGGGTACTTTTCTGCTGGGAGATTGGAAAGAAGTCAAGTTTAATAGGGATTTGCATACACCGGTTTGCTGGTGGAAGCACAATGCAACTGAATAGCTGTTTAGAAGGGGATGCTGCCTGTGCATCATGTGCTGAATGCGTGCAGCTCATGAGTGGTCAGGTTTAATGTCTGATGCAGCAGGAGCTTGGGTGAGGTGCCCCCAGGCAGTGGACAGGAACCAGCCAGGCTGTCACCAGTGAGCACCCCAGGGCTCCTCTGTGCTCGGGTGGGCACCAGCCTTGATGTTCTTTGTCTCTCCAGCATCAAAGCAAACTTCTGCAGCTTTCACATTCAAAAGTTGGCTTCTTATGACATCGTTAGAGTGGTGACTGGAGGGTGCAGGAACTGGGATCAGGAGCAACTGTGTGTGTATTTGAGGGGGGTGTTAACACTTTCCTTGTTTGTTTTCATGGACTGCTGCAGGAACTGCGTCAAAATGAGGCTTAAGAAACACTGAAGTCCAGATCCTGCCATCTATCTGTACTTTATGTTCTCTTCTGCATTTTATTGTCTTCTTTTGCTTTAATAAAGCAAAGAGGATTTCACCATCCTCACAGTCATGTCAGTGCTGTCCCTGAGGCTTCCCTTGGGATAGCCAAACCCCTGGAGGGGGGACCCCTTTGGCCTCGCTGATTCCAAATCCCACCTCAGATTCACCGAGGTAGATACCAGGTGGAGTCGGCCCTGCGGAGGGGAGGCAGGATGCTCGCCACCTTCACCACCACGTGCTCCTTTTACTCTTGTTGCTCTGTTGGGGTCAATTGCCAGTGTCTGCAGGGATGCTGAGGTGGTACCTGAGGTGACCACTGCCTCCCATCAGCTGGGCTCGCTGCCCTCCCCTGCCACATCACCACCAGCGCAGCTCCCTGCAGCTCCCTGTTCCATCAGCTGCTGCTCCGCTTGCTGAGCTCTTTCCCTAGGTGTTTCAATGGCATATGTTAAATGTACATATATACTAAAATAAAAGCATGCCCCACTTTATATTGCTAAAGAGATCTATTTAATGTAATGCTCTAAGAGAGTTTCTTTTCCGATTGCACACTGATTGCAACTAACCACTCTTCAGGAGATGAGTCAGTGTATGCCAGTAATAATGGAAACATTCAATTGAATGTTTTTTCTGGTTAGGTATTGCCCAGTTTTCAAAGGTCCATCTGTTCATGGCAGGAGTGGAACATACACTGGTGTAGTCTGGTGTTGGTATCTGCTTCTCCAGCTTTCTTGTAGCTGATTCTGTAGCTGAGGCAGGCATAATATTTGCACTTGGTGGACAACAGAGCGTCCTTTATTTCTGCCCTCTTTGCACAGTGTCTTTGCACTTTGGGGCAGAATCCTGGAATTACAGCGTCGTAGCTGTTTTCTGACTCTTTCAAAGTAGACTTCTGAAAGCCTTTCACGTGCCGTAAGCACTGGCCAGGTTGTGCTCAGCACTGTCGTGTCCCAGTGCCCAGCATCAAATGACACGGCGTTCCTGGAGAGTGGCTGTTGGGCAAGATGCCCGTGTGGCTGAGGGACAGGCAGAGGTCGCCAGTGCTGCCTGCTGGGATCCGGGGCAGGTAGTGGTGTGGCATCATGGGGCTGGAGCTTCCCTGCACCCACCTACTCCGGGGCAACACGGAGGGGCTTCTGCTCATTCCCTTTAGAAATGGCAGGGGAACCTGCATTTGAGATTCAGAAAGTAAACATCTGCAACACACATGAAACCACAGCAAATTTATAATGAGCTGCTCTCTGTGCTGGATATTTTGTGTTCTGTGGCAATTTTGTGCTGGTTTTATTTGTTAACGTGTCTCTGTAATGAAAAGAGTTCTCTATATTGATATATTTTATTTTCTTTGTAATAAGCCAAAAAAGCTCATTGCTGGTGCCTTTTTGCCTGGGGAGGACTCCCAGCCCACAGCTATATTCATGAATGTAACGAAGCATAATGTCTCTGCAATTGCTTGTTTCACCATAGCTGAGTAAAGTCATGGAGCAAACACTGCAGGATTACCAAAAGAAAAAGCTCAAGTCGCCTACAGAATGGGCAGAAAGACTCATCAGCTACAATAAGGGTTATTTCCCCAGGCATGGTTCCAAGGCGAGGGCTGAGCTTTCAGCTTCCTCCTGTGTGTGACACAGAAGTCTGTGCCCTGGCTTGGTGGGACTTTGCTGCATTGCGAACCTTTAGCCTCTGCAAGTAATGCAGTGAGGCCAAAGCATACACATATCACTTTATTGAGGCTGCAACCATATTACGGTTGCAGCATTTTTTCAGTCACCTTTCAGAAATGGCAGTTTTTTGCCCAAATCAGTGCCATCTGAGATGAAATTCTGCTTCTAGAGAAGGACAGTAATTGGATTGCTGCCTCTGTTTTGTTTTGGTTTTTAAATTGGAACTGAATGCATTGAATAAGGCAAATGGAGACTTACAACATTACGTTGTCAAGAGTGGAGAGCAGTGATGTCTCTGCCTTGGCCAGCGAGGTGTGTTGGAGGATGCCCAGGAGATGACCGTGACTCAGAAGTCACCGTATGGGACTGAAGGATGTTTATTCTCATAGCCAGAGGGAAACCTGCCTGGCATCCGGGATAAAGACAACACCAGTTACGCTAGGGGAGATGGAAACATTCACTTTTTGACCGGTTTAGTCCATGCTTGGGTCCCACGCGAGCCCTCACCCTGTGCTGTACCGCAGGGCAGACCTGCACGCTTGGTGTTCAGCTCTTTTTGTAATCTTAAAATCTGTTGATGTTCTAAGTACAATAAAGGCAGAATCTTGTTTGTTGGAACACTGCTCAGTGTGTGGTTTCTGGCTTTTGTTTCAGCTAATGTGCATGAAAACCGTTGCCCAGTGTGACA